CAGTCACGGCTGGTTTCCCTTGCCCCGCTTTGCCTACAGGCTGGGGCGGAACCGTCTTTGGTGCCTGGGGTGCTTCTAGGGTCCTGGTGAGGCCCGGATAGCCTGTGAGGAGGGACTGAAGCAGCAGAGACACACTGAGGAGTCACAGCCGGGCAGCCTCCCGCACACAGATCTGTGTCTGCTGCTACTGCCCCCTGCTCCAAGCGAAGGCCCCACCTTTGGCCACCCGCGGAGTGATCCCGCACCACTCAGCCCGCCCTGCAGAGAGGCCAGGGCTGGCAGGAGAGGGGGCCAGCACTGAGGGACGCTGGCTGAGCTGACAGCAAGAGGGTCTCCTCTTTGTTCTTGCCCAGTAAAGCAGGCTTGGGGGAGGCTCCCGGCCATTAGCACGCATCCACGCACAGCTAATGCACTGCAGATGTGCTGCACGCCCTGCACCTTACTTACAAAGGGAATTTAATGGCTTGGACACAGGTTAAGTGAGAAATAAAAGTGGGGGAAAAAAATCCTACTGCTATTGGCCCTGTGCACCAGTTCTCCTGGTTTAACCCTTGCAAGGCACCACCTCGCATCCCTTGCCCTGGGGAAGGCACCATGAGCCTTGGACCCAAGGCCTGGCTGCCTGGGGAAGCGCTCCAGGTTCAAAAGCCTCCGTCTGCCCCCCCCTAAAAGGCGCTGCTCGCAGCACTGCACTGCAGAGCCCCCACTTCTGTGCCTGCAAACCCACTCAGCTCCCCGTTTTCTGTGGCCGAGAATTCAGTCCTCTCCCTGTCCTACTTATGAGCCAGGTGCAAGAGCCGAGAGGAGCCCAGGCTGCTCGGGGAACATACCTGCGACGCTGCCTCCTCCTCCTCGCTGGACTCCGAGGAGGAGCTGTGGGCCGGCTCGGTCCCTCTTGGTTTCTGCAGCGAGCCTGATGGAGGAGCAAAGTTCATCCCATTAAAGCCACTGCTGCAGCCCAGGGCTGAGCTCACCTACCCAGTACAGTTAGTGCCTCCAAAGCAAGGGGAGCGCTCTGCCAAGCTGGAGAGGAGGAACCCCTCTCTCATGTGAAGGTGACAGACCTCTGACAGGGTAACAAACCCCCATGCCCTCCCTGACGTGGCCAGCAGCACCGAAAGCATCTCCCTGGGAGGACTGACCAGGTTTGGGGGGCTGCTTGGCTGTCTCCTCCTCGTCGCTGTCTGAGGAACTGCTGCTGTCCGAGGTCTCCTCTGCCTGGGTGGGCGGCGCAGCGTGGCTCGGCCGGGCGTCCTGCGCTGGCTGCAGGCCTGGCTTCCTCGGCTTGGCAGTGGCACTGCTCAGGAGCGACGCAGCCTGGCACTGGCTGGAGGAGCTTTTCCCACAGGAACCGTTTGGTTTAGGCAAGGACGAGCCTAGGGAGAGGAGGGCAAAATGCATCTGGAAGGAGGAATAACTCCTCATGCCCATGAACTACAAGAACCAGCCCAGAGCAGATGCGCTTGGACCACCTCGGCCCTTCTTCAGCCATATTGCTCCAGTTTGCATCAAGGAAAGCCCCAGAACCTCCCACGCAGGGCACAAAGACCCCCATCTCCCCCGGCCCAAGATGAAGCAGGCAGCTGTGGCCAAGCAGACAACTCCTGCCTGTACAGCGCGCTGCTGTGACAAAAGGATGAACCCTGCCAGCCAGCTGGGAGGCAGGAACAGCAGAGGTACCAGGGCTGCCCTCTGCTCATCGGCTTCACCTTGTGGTGCAATAACAGTGCGGAGCACTGCAAATGCAGCAGCCCCCTTTTCCCCCCATCCACGAACACACTCCCTCAGCTGGGGACACGGCACCAGCCTCAGATGCCAGCACACCCATCTGCCCACTCTCCCCAGTGAAGCTCCCCACTTTAGTCTCCTCTGTCGTTACCTCTCCTGCTGGTATGTCGTCCTCTGAGGAATCGCTGCTCGAGCTCTCAGACGCTCTGCTCACTGGAGGGGCAGCAGGTGCTTTTACCCCCTTCCCCGAAGGCAGCGTGGCATTAGCCTTGGCAGCCACTGTGCTCAAAACCTTGGTTGCTTCGATGTTCGGCTGGGACAGACTCTGAGACAGATGAGAAAGAAAATCAGGACAGAGCACAACTTGGAGGGAAAAGAGACAGAAGCATACACCAATCTACCACTAACTCCTGAGCCTTTCCATCATTTTCAGCACAGCACCAAGGCTCTTTCTGTTTTTCTTCCTCTTTACAGGCCAGCTCTGTCTGCTGTGAGTCTCTGAGCAGGGCCTCTGGCACAGCCAGGAGCAGAGAAGTGAGGGCCAGCACCCCAGCAGTGCCTGAAGCATTAGCTCAGTGCCCCAAAGGCACCCATCCTGAAGGCAAGCTGGCAAGATGTGATGTGCTTGCAGACTGTCAGTTCTCTATCCACCGCAGCACCAGCAACACTGCAGTTGCAAACCCTGCTTTGCAAAGTGGGCACTTTGACTTCCAGGATGCCTCCTACACTCTAGAAATCACACGCCGAGAGTTAACTGGCAACAGAGATCAAGCAAAGACACCAACCACAGAGCAAACCCGCCTTCAGCTCCGCAAGCAAGCTACAGATGAGAGAGCAAATTAACAACGAGCAATTTTGTTGCCTCACATTTAAAACCTCCCATCAAACTAAACGTAAGAGGGGTTAAAAATAGAAGAGCCAGAGGCATGGAAATCAGACACTGACATCAGGTCCAAGACACAAATGCCAGCAGAGGAGGGAGCAGGAACGAGGAAGGAGCACTCACGCTCCTGGTTTGTGTTCCACAGGAGGCTACGTGAGCAGCCCTCCCTCTCCAGATCTCTGACAAGCTGGGCCTTTGTGGGCTGACATTTCCCTCGCCCAACATCTGGCCTTCGGGAAGGAAGGCAGCGCTGCACCACGCAGAGAGCCGCCAGTCCGACGTGAGCTCTCAGCCGTCTTGCACAAAGCTCGAGTTACAGCAACTGCGTTATTTTATACAATCTTGGTGCTATAAACACGCTTTAATCGAGGACTGCTCGGGCTGGCTGCCTGCCCACCAGCCGGGGGGAAGACAGGCGTTCCACCGGCCACAGCGTCAGACCAGCATGGGCAAGGGTTTCCTGGAGTCCACACAATCCCCCTCTCCCAGCAAGGGCACTGGCCAGACTGAGGATGCGTATGTGCAGGACAAAAAGCGCGCTTGGTCACTAAGCCCTGGGCTCAGAGCACCAGCCAGGCCACCACCACGCAGGAACAGCAGCCACGTTCCTCAGTCAAGGCTTCTTCACATGGTTTCTTTCTCGGGCTCAAAGTGCAGCAGAGGTGCAGAGACACCCAAGAGAGCTTCACAGCGAGGCAGCTCAGCCATGGCCCTGTGGGACTGGCGTGGAGACACGAAGAGTCGTGACATGAAGAGACTCCGGTGAGAGAGCTGGGATGGGCTCCACGACACTCAGCAGTGCCCTCGGCACAGATACGGGGTCACCTCCCTTCACCAAGGCAGGGGGCTGGCTCCTCCCAGCTGAAAGGCAGCAGGACCACCATGCTACCCTGCAGGGCAGATCCTTCCCAGCCTCCCCAGGCTGGTGGAAAGGGAGTCCAAGGCCGGTGGAGGGGGAGTCCAGAGAGCTCCAGGCGCACCCCACATCCAGGGGTTTGGGAGGAAACAGGGAGTGTGTTGCCTTGGAGCAACCCAGCTCATGGCAAGACTCTGCCTGCAAGGATTTGGTTGCTTTTCCAGCCTGCTCCCTGGAGTAGTGCAAAGGGGACAGAGTCCCAGAGGAGGTCTGGGCTCGTGTGTCTACTCGTGTTCCTGCCAAAACATTCACACCCTCCACTGCTCTCACACACTGCAAGCTTGCTGCAGCCGAGACATGCACCCAGAGCTGGGGTCAGCGAGACCCAGGGATGCTGCCAAGAAAACCTGATCCAGCCAACGGGAGGGCCGCTCTCTGCACCGCTCATCACCCACCACCACCTCGTGCGTCCCGAGACCTCCTGAGCATGCAGGACTAACAGCATCCACCCCCAGCAGGTCAGCAGCTCCTTACCTGCGAAGGGGGGACTATTTCTTCCTCTGAATCCGACTCCTCGCTGGAATCATCGCTGCTGTCCACAGGTGGAGGGGCTGGCGCTGGGGCCGGAGCGGGTGCCTTCTTTACGATTGTTGGCTGGGGCACAGCACTGGTTTTCACTGCAGGAAAAGCGTTAAAGAGATTGCCACCATGAGAAAAGAGCTGTTCTCCATGGCTCTTCAGAACAGGAGTGATCACAACAGGCTGGGCCGTTCCATGCACAGGGGAGAGAAGGAATCCCACAGCGATGCAGGTGAGGGATCCTGGCCACTACCAGGAGACTTACCAGGTTGTAGAGGCTGCGTCTGTGCCACAGGGGACTCCTCTTCACTGTCAGATGAGTCACTGCTCCCGCTTTCTGAGACCTGGCTTTTCAAGGTGCTTCCCACTGCTTTTTCAGGCAACCAAGCTTTAGGAGCATGGCTCAGGTTGGGAACAGGCCCAGGCTGTTCTGTTAGTCTCTTCACAAAAGAGAAACACAGGCCCAGAAGTGTGGTATTAGTACAGGTGTTGTTTAGGAGTTTCAGTGCAGTTTCAGCTCAAATTGGGTTTTGTTTCACCCTTACACAGCTGTAACTAACACTCACTCCAGCCCTGGCGTGTCAAGGTTGGAAGGGGTTTCAGTTACTGCCTGGACTGAGCTGCTGAAGAGACACACCACTGCATTCAGCAATATGCTGTTGACAGGAAGCCTGAGTGTTATTTTACCACACGAGCACGCAGGACTAACCATGCTCATAACCTCCAAACAGTAATTCCTTACTGAGGCCGCTACGCTGGTTGGACAGGAGCCTGAGGAAAGGAGCAGCACTGCAACCCCGAGACCCCCACTCCAAGGAAGTCTCTCATTTAAGCACGACCTCCCCCCAGCTCGGGCAATCAGCAGGAGGTGGGAAGCCTTGTGCCCAAACACTTGCAAGATTCAGAGACAGCACCAAGAGCAGCTACATCCTGGAGCTGTTGGAGAGCTTGGCGCAGACACAGGGCTGAAACAAGCATTTGGGATCACAGAGGGCAGGCAGAGACAGACTGGGACCCAAGATATGATTGAGCACCTTGGAAACTGATCTGTCAACAGGTCTAAGAATTTAGAAATCTGCAGATAACAAAAAAAACCTCACAGCTCACTTGGGCTGTGCCTTTCTACAGCACTTGTCAACACTCTGATGTCCCAGGACAGGCCACAAGCCACGGCCCCAAGCAACCAGTGTGTCCGCACTACACAGTTAGCACCAGATACACAGCGGCCAGGTGAGGGGAGCTCTTCCCAGCCCCATTCCCAGCTTGGGCCAGGGGCTGCAGACGCCCCTCCTGCACGCTGCTGAAGGCTAGCGGCGGCAGAGGGAGCACTTGCCCAGAGATCTGGCAAATTCACCACCTGCAGATATCCTCCAGGCTCGCAGCGCTCTGCGCCCACTCAGTTTACTCCACTCATCGCTCATCTCCGGGCTGCTCCGCCAAAGAGCACGTCACGCTTGCCAGGGCGGGCAGACCCCATCCAGCCCGCACGTGATGGCAGCCTGCTTCAGCGCTCCGTCTCCAGGCCTCCCTCAAGGAGGTGAGAGAGACTCCTGCCCGGCTGCACAGCCCCTGCCACCCCTCCTCCCAGCCCTGCCGTGCTGCTAACACAGCGATACCCTCTTTGCCAGCAGGAGAGGACCAGGAGGCCTGCAGCAGTGCCAGCTCTCCCGAGGGATGCTCCTCACCAGCAGCCAAGAGCATCAGCCTAGCAGCCTCCTTGGAGGACGGATCTTATCGGGCTTCCTGGCAGAGCCCCACCGAGGGCTGCCACTTGGGCAGTGTTTGTCATCTCCGAGCCAAACTCTAAACAGACAACAGCATCTGCATGTTTATCCCATTTCAGAACAGCTCTCCGAACAAGCCAAGCACATTTTGACTCTGCTTAGAGAAACACAAACCTCCACAAGCGCTTGTCAGGGGGACTGCAAACCTCACTTGCCTGTTTTGTTTTGATACCAGTGAGTCACTGTCTCCAGAAGAGAGGCCAGATTTGCCGCGCTGAAGGGAGAGAACTACTTGAGGAAGACACAAGAATTCACATGCTCTACTTGAACGCGCTAGCTCTGCTCCCTCTCGTCCCAAGCACTGCTGTGCAAGGGAAGAGTCTGCCAAGACCAGACCCCACTGGCTCACTTCTAAGACCTTCATAGCAATGGGACTGCCTTCTTCCCCTACTCAGATGCGCTGCACAAGGGCTGCTTCATTTTCTAACTTAGCAAGAGATTGGGAAAGATCTGCCATGCAGAGGCACCCTGACACAGAAAGAATCACAGAATCACAGAATGTTCGGCGTTGGAAGGGGCCTCTGTGGGTCATCTAGTCCAACACCCCTGCCAAAGCAGGGTCACCCAGAGCAGGCTGCACAGGACCTTGTCCAGGCGGGTCTTGAATATCTCCAGAGAAGGAGACTCCACAACCCCTCTGGGCAGCCTGGGCCAGGGCTCCGTCACCTCTCTTCTCCAGGCTGAACAAGCCCAGCTCCCTCAGCCTTTCCTCATAGGAGAGATGCTCCAGTCCCCTCATCATCCTCGTAGCCCTCCGCTGGACTCTCTCCAGGAGCTCCTCATCTTTCTTGAAGTGGGGAGCCCAGAACTGGACACAGTGCTCCAGATGGGGCCTCCCTAGGGCAGTGTAGAGGGGAAGGAGAACCTCCCTTGACCTGCTGGCCATGCTCCTCCTAATGCATCCCAGAACGGAACAGCATCCACAGAGAAACCACCACAAGCTTCACACAGCCTCAGGACTCCTACAATGCTCCCGGGAGGAGTCCAAGGTCCCTCCATCCACCTCATCTCGGTCACTGCCAGACAGCTGACAGCCGCCACGTCCTATGGCATGGCCCAGGTGGGATCAGGCCAGCAGCGTGGCCGAGTGACTGCCAGCGAGCAGTGCAACATAGGCAGAGAGATTCTGACAACTTAAAGAGTCAGAGGTACTGAAGTAACTGAGAGAAGAGGAAAATAATTCAAGAGGAAATCATTTTTCCTCCTCCCCCTCCAGCCCCCAACGCAGGAGCTGCCTGCGGCTCAGAGTGTGGTGACTCAGCTCCCGCACAGCCCATCTGCCACTCTGCTGGGCCCATTTGCATCACGCAGCGCTGCAGGACACGAGGGGGAAACAACACGGAGCCACGTGCGCTGAGCACGCTGTAACCATCGCGCTCCGCTGCTGCCTGTGCACGGCGGAAGCGCCACCAGCATGCCAGTACTGGGACCAGCACACCAGTGCTGGGACCAGCATCTCAGTTGTGTCACAACATAGCAAAGGTAGGACTGCCACCTGCAAGGGAGGGGGGACAGGGTTCAGGGAGGGAAAGA